CTGATGGAAGTCCAGCAGTTGGTGCCTCCGGGAGCGACGTCCCTGCACCATGCGTGCCGGCTCCGCCTGTACTGCGAGGGCGGACGTGAGATCAATGAAGATTTGAAGGCCCAAATCGCGTTTGGCGATGAAGGTTTTTCCGTGGAAGACCTCCGGGACCTGCGTCTGCGAGATGGGGTCTGGGAAGTCCTGATCAAGTGGCTTGACCTGGACGATCTGGAGTCGTCCTGGGAACCGGCCCTATCGATCTACGAAGACATTCCCGTGCTATTCCGTCGCTGGGCCAAGGCCCGGAGCAACGAAGGCGGCGTGAGCGAAATGATTGACGATCTCACGAGTGCATGTGGCCACCCGATGTAGGGGGGGGAAGTGTTATCGGCCGAGCCTCTGTTCGACTCCCCGTGCCTGAGTGTGGGTAGCCGAATGTTGGTCACGAACGACATTTGACGAGTGTGACATATGACCTGGATCGCAGCGGCATATGTTCCGAGCTGATGGTACACTGTACGATGCATGACTGGTAGAGAGTAGTGAAGTGATAGGAGGGAACTGACTTATGGACTGGATAATGAAGTTACTTTTGGATTTGTCATCGAGGTCACCGTTGTGAACACGGTAGTCGTCGGTTGCGAAAACCGGCGCAAGACAACAAGTACTAGTATATGTATATAGTATGCATGAGAGACGACGACGACGTTTACTAACGAAGGAATGACCGCATCAACACAAGGTCTCGCACCGAATGGAAGCGCGACGGCGGCGATGATAGCGACGGCAACGTCCAACGGCGACTTGGTTTCACCAACAAATACTGGTTGCGTTGGATGGCGTCGACGGACTCCCTAACGTGGCAACACACTCGATCCGCTAGGGCACTGTGACGTTCGAAACGTCAGGCTACACCACGGGACTATCGATCGGTGTGTTAAACTCGCTCCCGGTGGTCCCTAGGAGACGTGCTGGATCGTTACATTCATTACGCGCCTGCGGGGGACCAGTACGCCAGCCACATCGCTTCGAGATTGCCCGAATCTAGCACCGCGTTAGGCATGCAGCCTCCTCATTTTGGTGCGCGGGACGATCCCGTGGTTACTGTGATGCGCCGAATGGAGGACATTTTCGAAGCCGAAACTGGTGCCAAGCCCCACGACCACGACTGTCCATCCGATCGCTACGTGGCCGAGTCGTTTGATGCGTGCTTAGGCTACAACGGACTGGACGTAACAAGAAGCGCAAACGCGACGAGACCGACCTGAAAGTTGCGACGGTATCAGGAATTCTCCACAAAATGAAGCGCCCCGCGTACAAGTACTTCAAAATACATGATGACCTTGCCGTGCATTTGTCGCGACTTACTACATATTAATACTACGTAGTAGTACAGTACCACTACCTTACTGTTAGGCGGACTTAGCCGGCCACGACGTGCTTGGATTGGTTGAAATCCACATACGACGTTATCCAGTGAAAACCGAGTATAGCAAAAACCTGTACACACCCCTTGCCAATATAGAATTCTTGTTGACTGTGAAGTTCTTCACGGACCTGTATGCGAACAGTACTCAATTCGCGGGAGTAAGGGACTCTTCCAAGTACCGTCGTACTTTAAACTCAAAATGCGTTCCCAAGTAAAATCGTCGTTATTTGATCGATATTTGGTCGTGTTTTAACCATGATGTGAATATGATTGGCTGATACTATATATATCGTTGTTTGGCTTGTCGTTTTTTGTCGTATATGCACGCATATATCGCAATGATTGGTCTAGGTTGTCCAATCATATCCACCTTCACTACCCTGCGCAGAACATACTTCAATGGCGTTGGCGAAGGGCAAGACCAAGACACCGACCAAGAGAGAGCTGATCGAGTGCCTGGCGCAACTTGAGGCAGGAAGCGGCGCACTGAACCTCCGATCCCCTGACAAGCATGTCACCACTCAAGACAAGCTGCGCCTACGAGCATACGCGTCGCCGTTTCAGGGATCAAAAAGCAAGCAACAGCTATCTGTCTTGTGGGAGAAGATTGCGATGAGACTTAGTGTGGTGTCAGGGGTGGTTGCGTCGCACCCGTCTGCCAAAGCAAAGTACCACAGCCTCAAGCAAGAGCACTCACGTATTCGTGTGTCCGAGCAGCACGACTTGAAACAATGTTGACGAAGCGACTTGAAACAATGTTGACGAAGCCGCTACGAACCCGCCCTACTGGGAGCACATGGTGGAGTATTTTGGGGATAAAAGGGGCCTTGGTCACAATGAGTTTGGCTCGAGTGCTGAGCGTGCGATCGACACCGAAAGCGACAAGGCTGAAGAAGAGTTTGGCGATGTCGAGGCCTCGGTGGATACAACACGCCCGTCAAAGCGTTCAAAGCCCTCGTCAGCGTCGGCAGCGTCCGTGGCAAGTGGTTTGGTGACGCTGGGCGAAACCCTCGCAAAAGGTTTAGTTGACGCTGCCTCTGTCGGAACTTCAAGTGCGACAAACGAAAAATTGGACGCACTCTCGGAGAGTATTGAGGAATCAAAAAAGCTTCATGCAGCTCTACTTGAGAATATTGTGAATGGTAATGCTATCCAACGTGAGCTTCTGAGCCATCTTCAAGGCATTAACAATCGTCCATAATAAGAAAAATTGGTTGATTTTCAATTTTTTCTTTACACAAGAAAATATGTACAATTTTAATGCGTTTCTTGCATTTCTAGCTTGCTCGCCATCAACTAAATTTCTCTGGTTCAATCGAGTGATGTCACCACCAATGTGCATCCACTCAGCTTGGTGCTGAAGTTCTTCGACGGATTGTCTTCATCGCAAAACGTTGGCTCCAAGTCGATAATCCAATTGTGGAGGATCATGTTGGTCTCGATTAGGCGTGCCATCTCTACTCACAATATAATATGACGCGTTGCAGTCAAAAAGTACCTTGGGGTGTGTGATGGTCCAGGGGACTCTTGAACATTCGGAACTTGTTCTTCCAAAGGCCAAAGGCCCTTTCGACTAGGGTCCTCGTGCGGCTGTGAATGTAATTATAGTGTGCTTCGTCTTGGGGCATCCCGTGTCGAATCTCAAACGGCGTCATCATGTGCTGGAACAATTTGTATCCTGCATCCGCGAGAAAGAATGTTCCCATCGGAATAATCTAATGAGATTGGCTACCGATTAACAAGTCATAAACAAACATACCGGTACAAGAATTGCATTACTTTGTGAGCAATTTGGCCAAAATGAGAACGGTTGAACAACGACTTGTCTTTTTGTGACCCCGATCGAATTGAGAATGACATAAACCGCATCTTGTGGTCAACAACGCCTACAGAATAGAAATATATCCGCGTGACACCTCCAACCAGCCCGCTGACGACTTCGGCAGTGCAATCGTCTCAGCAAGAAACAACCGAACGACTTTCGTGACCTGGCCAACCTAGCTGTGGGTGCGGGTTGAACTGATGCCAAACACTTGGCCAGTACCGCAAATCCATCACAGTGGGTCAGGTAGTGGAGGGTGACTGCAACACGATCAATGATGCTGAACACAGTGTTGTGATGGAGCGCAGGGTTCACCAACAACTACCGTGATGATACCCGCTCGACGATGCTGTCAAACGTTGCCTTGCTGCAGCGGAGGTTGCGAACGTACCAGCCATAGTACTCGGCGGAGGATTGTACACGTTTCCAAGTGTCGGTTCGCAGCGCAAACCTTGTTGATGGAGGCTTGGGAGCGTGGGTTACGACGGCGATTTGGACGGCAGCAAGAACGACCGCAATGATAACAATGTGCTTGGCCGTCATATTGCAATAATGAATCAGAACCAATTATTTTACTTGGAATGCGTTATTGGCCCAAACACGATCAAAACATGACTCGCCGTCGTACTTTGAAAAACGGATTTCAAAGTACGACGGAAACGATTCTGATTGGCTCCGTTCGTTTTTGAAAGTTACTTGGAAGAGCCCCTAAACCCTTTCGAATAAGTGTATGTTCGCCTTGAACGCCGATTCCATACGAGATAATGCCACCGTGCGCTTCTTGTCAATGCTCCTCATGGTGCTTCATCGTCTCCTCAAAACGTATGGCCCATTCCGTCAAGTGCGTTTCCTTGTTTTCCGGCAGGCGCATCAGTTCTGTATACGCCCGCATCACAAACGCTTTGAATGCGGCCATTTGGTTTCGACCAAACTCCTCCACGAAGTTCAGACGCAAGGCGTCCGGTACCGCTCGAACACTGGCCACCACGTAGGTCGACGGAATCGCGTCTTCTGTCTCCTCAGCCAACAGAAGGTGCAGCGTCACGTCCGTAAGGTCCTCACTCCCTCGATTCGGACTCGATGTGCTTGGGCAGTAACAACAAAACGTTCATTCGCACCGTCGCTTTCGTCCGGTTCCGACTCGCTAACTTCCAGAGCAATCTTCTTCTGTGACGAACGGATCGGTGAAACTCCAACTCCCACACCATCGATATTTTTCTGGTGATACACCAGGGGAACCGTCCGGGAGACGCAGGAGTTCGCGCAATGGCGACACGGGTTACACTTGGCTTCTAGTACGCAGCGTATTCCGGTTCCAAACCTTGCAGTCGTCGCGTCGTTCACACCGGTTTCGCACGCGAAGACATCGTTTTTCGCTTCTCGCTCTTTCTTATTATCGATCATTCGGCAAGCAGTGTACCCTGCTGCTCACGTAAAACGTAACAAGTGAAGGGTATGTACTCAGGGAACGACGCGGTTTCTGTACGGATCTCGAAGGGGTGGTCGTGATACGTACAGGAACAGCGGCAAACACATGGGGTGATTAGAGCAAATACTATTGTTGTGTTGTTAACCTTCTACAGTCGAAATCTTGGGGGGTCACGCTACAGTCAGTACAGTTTCAGGTACGGATATTTAGGTAACCGGACGCGCGTCATCCGTTACCAACAAACGTTGAGGGGCCAATTCTATCATACAGATTTGTACAGGAGGACTTCATTGGGGACAGCGACGGTAGCGAAGTAGGAGCGGCCGCGATTTTATTCGCCTGGGTCGTTTGACGCTGCTGTGCCGCAGCCACGCTGTCATGAATGTATTGCATAGGTGTTAGATGGCTCGTTAATGTCTCCCCATTTGAAACAAAGCCGTCCAGCATCGGGGAGAGACGCGGATGCTTGATATGGATCGCGTAATGGGGCGAAAAGCGAGTGGACGCCTGAACCGAGGCGTTGTAGGCGAAAATCGCATGTTGTCACGTGACAGCCCTCGATGGACTGGTAGAGATGGAGTAGCTGCGAAGACATTATTCGCGCGCTCCGTTTGACCGTCGGAGCCGTGTTGGTCGGATATCGACATGTCTAACGAGGTGTCGCACAGGTCAAAGTGGGTCGACCAAAATTTGGCGGTGAACCGGGGGTCATTGTTCGAGTCGATAGACCGTGGCAGGCCGAAGTGGCAGAAGACATGTTTGAAGAAGAGGCGAACGGCGTCCATACCGCTTAGCGTGTTCTTGACGGGAATCGCAACGACGTATTTCGACGCGCGCTCGACGCAAACCATGATCCCGGCGTTGCCGCTGACGTCGCGCGGCAAGCCGAACATAAAATCCATGCTGACCAACAACCAAAGTTCGTCGGGAATTGGCAGCGGGTAAAGAGGCGCCCAGGGGAAACCGTGATTTTGGTGTGTTGACAAGCGTCGCAGTGAGCGACGTAACGCACGACAGATTTGTACATGCGCGGTCACCAATACGAGCGCATAAGGATATTCTAGGGTTGACTCGAATTGAGCCAAGTGACGTTGAGAACGGATTTCGCTTTGCAATCGATCTAAGGCTGAAGAAACTCCAGCCATGTCGTCCCAACGACGAGATCCAAGAGATCGAGTATGTAGAACGGTTCGACCCAGTCGAAACCGTCAAATGTGATTGGTACATCGACCACGATGCGTGGTTGAGACGCAGTGTGGCCGTCGGCTATCTTGACGCGAACCCGAAGGGGTCCGAAGAGGGTAAGCGGTTGAAGCGAGAGAAAATGAAGCGGCTGTCGTAGTTCAAGATGCACTGGGCGTCCGCGGCAGTACTGACTTGGACGAACCAATGAAGTTAGACGTCGTCAAGTTCATCGCTTGAGGCGAGAAGCCGATGAGTGGTCCGTGGATTCTAAAACATGCGCGAGGTGAGCTTTGTCCTGGGCGACGCGAAGTAAATCCTGGAGGTTGCGTTCATGAGCGGACATGGTGGAAACCTGCTCTTCCAAGGCCACTCTTGTTTCATGGGTGACACGGAGTGACTCTTCGAACTTCCGCCCAAGGGATGTCATGCGGGCCACTTGCTCTTCTTCCAGCGTCGCCTGAGCAGCGGTGGTTGCTGCCGAGGCTTCAGCGACGGAGATTTCACGTGCTACCGATGCCTTCCAAAATACGTGCTTGATCGTGGGGGGGTGTCCCGCCGACGAGTAGCGCGGTATCGTTGTCGCAAAGCCGCGCCGTGTTGGTAGATGACATAATAAGGGTCAACTGGACGAGCGTGGAGTGCTATCAAGTGTAAGCGTGGTGAGAGAAAGGCGCAGTAGATGGTAGAATCAAGAATAAATTGATATCGTTAAAACTCCTGCTGTATGATATCCCTAGGCTGCGCTCAACTAACCGTTAGTTTGTCAGCAAGGATGTCGTTCGGACCAACGAACGACACAGATTACCTTCGAGGGGTCGAAGTCGAATGACGAATGGTCGATGCGAATTTTCGCGCTAAGAAGGACCAACATATTCATTGCTTAATGGTTTCGAACGAATGGGGCCGACACCTAAGGCTCCAAGTTAAAATGAGGATTTGATGGGTGAAAAAAAATGAGGATGTGATGGTTAGAACTATCATCAGATTATCGAGGCATAGTCACTGAGGGGTTTAGTCGTTTGCCCGATACATACAGTGCAGCTGACCAGACATTAGACATTTGGCAATTAAAAATACGATATAATATTATAATGTTTTACAGGTGTGTATATCTTTATTCAAGGAGGAGTACGCCATTATTTCTGATCGGTCGATTAAAATGGGACGGAGGGAGTAGTGCAGTATTCGATTCTGCTGTTCAAAATGAATACGTATGGACTTCAAGTTTTGTCCGCCAGTTAGGATGACGCACTATAGCGAACCAGGGAGAAACTCGGCAGGGGGTGGATTGCAATTCCTATCGTACTCGATGGACCAAATTAAAATAAACCGCAACGTTGGAGCAAATCTGATTGGCTAAAATTCGTGTAACGATACAGCTGAAACTTGTCGCATATTTGTGAAACGATTCCCGTACTAGGCACAGAGATCTGATTGGCTGACGTGTGAATTTATTCAGTTTCAAGAGGAGTATATTTAAAAGAAAACTACATCATATTTTAGAGGTGGTCGGGTTTCTTGGGGTCAAGTTTCTCCCCGGTTCGCTGTATGGATGAATATGACGGTTACTCCGACACTACTCGTGTTTGTATGCGTGATTCCGGCCACTAAATGAACGGTATTTTGCATATATGCAATCAAATAAATCCAGACTGTTATTTTAGGCCAATCAGTGCAGGTTTTGGTGATATTGAGCTGCTCCGACAACTCCGACATATTTTGTCGAAGAAAATTTAAAAATATGCGTCCGTAAATACAAAAATCAAGGTGTTTCGCATAGCTGACATATTAACAACTCCTCCGACAAAACATACATTCTGAAAAATCTATAACTGACCCATTATAAGCCCAATGAGACTAAGGGATCTAGAGCCCGCGAGTACGAAGAACGCCAGAGCGACTGCTATCAATGCGTTCAAGCGCTTTGTGGAGAGTGAAAACGTCACTTACGCCTATGTTCATCGATGTATACAACTTGATCAAATGGGAACGACCTTCGTGGACGTCATGGACAAGTTTCGAGCGAATTTGGCGTTTCTTGTGTCGGATAAGGGGACCCTACTTGCTCGGAACACAGTGACATCGTACTTTTGCAATGTCAAGCTGTGATTGATGGAGCTCTACCCTGCATGTCGCAACCAATCAACAGCCATCATGTTCAAACTGGGAGGCGTCCTGGAACGATACTGCTTAAAGCGATACTCTAGTGGAATGGTTGTGAAGGCAACTGCAGCAACAAAGGACGATTTGAACACTTTGATTCAATTCCTCTACTCGACTGCTGTCAATCTCAAAGACTACCACAACGCGTGCCTCTTGCTGTTGTTGTGGTACTGCTTCGGACGTGCATCGGATCTGTTATTGCTGAAGCGGCGCAATTGCAATTTCACCATGGGGCCACGGAACGTCATGTTCCTGAAACTGATTCGTGTCAAGACATCGGAAGAACAAGGGTTGTCGATATTCCACGACAATTCAGTGTTTACCTGCCCGATTGTCGCGTTGGGTGCGTGGTTGGCAATGGATACGACGTCACAAGCATCGTTATTTGGCTACCTACCAAAACTCAGTCAAAAGGATTTGCCATCTTTGGACACGGCAGTACCATTGATGGCCATCTTGGACAATGTGGCAACCTCCAACGAGGTCGATCTTTGTGGTGGTGGGACGGCCATCCTTGGAACCGGTGTGATAATGTCCGACGGGACAACTCACCTTGGGAGTGGCGGGGCGATGCCTGACGTGTCCGATAATCGCGACGGCGTGGCAACTTCCTACATTGGCGATGGTGTGGCAACCTCCTACACCAACATGACCAGTCATGGTGCAACGAAACGCACGCCAGGCGGCCAACGTGTGCCTGGCGTTTATACGTACGTGAATCGTCTTTTGGATCGAATCTCCAAACCAGCTGGCGTCCAGAACAAACTGAGTTCGCACTCGTTCCGCCGTGAAGGGGCACAAGAAGCAAACAACAACAGCGACTTGAGCCAATCGTGGATTTTCGACCGTGGCTCGCGGGATATGTCGTCAACAAACAAGGGTTTCGCCTACGTATTCAACACTACAAAGGAAGATCAAATGGTTGCCCGAGTATTGGGTGGTTGGCATTCAAGAGACAACATTTCGTTGGCTGACCTGTCATCGTTTGATTCTGGAACTCGTTCGCGCGTTTGTGCCGATCAACTCTTCAGTGGCAGCAGTAGATTGCAGGATCTTGTCGTATGCCCTATCACCTAGATGTTATCACGGCGGCACTAATTCGCGCGTACCCACAGTTGAAATCGGCAAACTCTTCGGCACCCATCATCAGGTCCCTCGAGGCAGCCGCGTCGTCGTCGGGAGTTGAAGTTGCCGAAGTCGTTGCTTGGTCAGTGCAATCACACAAGGCTCAGCAAGCACTGAATGGTGTACTGAATGGCAAGGACCCCTTCTTTGTCGCGAGTGGCTCGTCCAATACCCCCCTTTCGCAACAACCCATCAAGACATGGTGATCCAACAATTGATTGAGATGAATAAACAGTTGATGCAACGTGTACGAGAAATCGAAGCGTATTTACCTGCGCCAGCCACGAGTACATTTGCACCAACGCTTGTTGCTACACCCACACCACGCCCTCATGCGATATTGGATCCAAACAACGGCGACGCAAACACGGGGGGGCGAAAGCGACTTGGCGGCACAAGAACTTTGGTGTCTGTGTGGGTTGCTTGGTTCACAAGTAAGGTCGACACCTATGGACGGAAGGAACGGTCAGAATCCAAGCAGCTGTGGATTGAAGCTTCTACCACGCTTTAACTATCATTTAAAATGATTTAGAGGTGAATACGATTGTACACCAGTGCGGTCGACGCGTGTTGGGTCGCGGTGTATGGGGTCGAGGGGTGTCTTCCGAGAACTGGTTTGGCCGACGCAGATACTCCGCCAGCTACACTTGAAAATACAATGGTTCAAACATGTCTGACACAATAGGGGGAGTCAATTTAGGAAATTTCAGCTTTTCGTTCGATTGTGAAAAGCAAATTTATATTCTTTTGTATTTCTATTACAGCTTCCTCGAAAAGCAAGGTGGAGTCAATTTGGCCCTATCGAAATAGATGGAACATCATTTGAAATATATGAGCAATGTGTGAAATATACCGCCTGGGGGTGATATATACCGGATATTAGTTGAAATATAATGCAACGAAGTTTGGTCTGGATGAAATATATTGAATGCTTGGCGAACATAACGCACATGGCGTGAATCAATTGTGCGTCGGACGAAATATACCGGAAATAACCTGAACTGAAACGGAAAATGGTGTACTAGTATTAATCGCTTGACTGGTTAACGCCTCAAGCAAACAAGTGGTAATGCATACGGGTTAAAAAAGCAAGCAAAAAAATCCGAGTAGCGGGATATATGTTGGGTGTATATCCTACGTAAATGTACCTTTCATATGAATGCGGATATGCTGGTACAAGTGATTCACGTGTGGGGAAGTGAGGGATTCAGATTCCTAAAAATACATGAATAAATGCAAAAATTTGGCAAATACCTGCATTAGACCATTCGTTTTGGTGATGTTTGCATAGAACATAGAACAAATCATCAAGGACGCGACCGGTCCTCCCCTGATGACAGCCCCTGCAGCCCCGCCACGTGGTTTATCGTCTTGTTCTTTGAAATCCCGGCGTTGTGCTTGGATGGTTGTCAGGGAAATGTCCTTGTCGATTATACCCCACTTGGTTGGACAGCCACGTGACACCCCAAGACGAACCAAGTGGGTCTTTGAAATTGGACGGCTCAAGCAAGCGGCGTGGTTCAGAGCTCCATATCGCTTCCCTTCGCGGCAGTGGCAGTACCTCCAGACGGCGATCAAATTTCACATTCGCTCTGTGCCAGAAAGAAGAGCACACGTGCTCAGAAGCCCCGCAACACACTGCTCACTTGCATGGCCCAACATTCGGATGTTCATGTCATCTCGGCGCTCCACCGACCACGCAACGTGAAATGGCAACTTCTCGAAAGTCTTTCGGGCATCTATTTTGATTGGATATTACCCGGATAATTCTAGCCAATCGTAGCCTTTCAATTTGTCGGAGGTGTCGGCAACAATGTCGGAGCAATTATCCTATCGAAAAGTACCCACAACATTCCACGAGAATACTGTTACGTATTTTTAATATAGAATAAATATTACTACCTCCAGCCGGATTTAAACCAGCCATAAACGAAAAAGCTGTATATTTTCAACAATTTTTCAAATTTGGAAAATCCGAAAATATCAGTGTAAACAGTTTAATTCGACGAATCACAGTGGCTTAAATTCATAAAAATATGAGTAATTTTGTGTTGGGCAATATAATTTCAAAATATCATACTCAAATCAAGATAGAATTGTACGGATAAAACTAATTCTATCCGAAAAAGCAGAATGATGATCAATATTGAGCGGCAATTCGTTTGTGATTCGCGCGGTTTCCATGAAAGACCTCACATCGGACCAGCGCCGCGCAGTGGTGGACCACCACCTCTTGCGCGTTGTCCAAAAGCCATGCAAACTTCAACGCGGTGCCATAAAAGACGTGGCCCGCATCTTTGGCCGCAATCGCCACACGATCTCCGACATTTGGAGGCGTGCAAACGTATCACTTGGCGGCGACCTACCCATGCGTGAAATCGTATGCGAGGACATCTCAAGCCAAACGAAGGGCAGGGTCGGTCGAAAGCAAAAGTATAACCGATCTACCCGCACGTATCCGAGCCGTTCCTGCTGCTCAACGTACAACATTAATGTACGTAGCTCATGCCATTGGTATCCCTCCAAGCACGTTGAAGGACTACTATAAACGTGGACTCTTG